GGTGAGGCTAAAAATACCCTATCTCCTCTTTCCCCATACCTACCACTCTGCTTCCGTCCGCTCAAAGAAACAAGTCTACGTAAATGTTTGCTAAACTAAGCCTGGTAATCTGTGCTAAAATTTGCAACAATCTTAAATTTAATGACCAAGCAGCTGTAAAATGTACCAAATTTTCGCGCATCCTTTGTCGGTAGTACTCCGAGGTGCATTCTGAACAAAATATGTGACCGCAGGGCAAGAATTTCAAGCAGTCCTTGCCGCTTTTCGAGGTATAGCACACCTAAAATAATACTGTATAGAAGTCCTGATAAAGCTAAGGAAAAAATGGATGCTTAAAAAATTAAAATGTGCAGAATCGTTGTTTGATGAACACTGTAAATTAAAAGAACGGTTGGAAGGTCATCGAAACTCTGAATTGACCCATTAACAGGAATTTATGAAATCAAGTGGATACGAAAAATACAACTTGCAAGCAGAACGAAAATTGCCGGCCGCACTGATGGAAATCCACACTATTAACAAAAGCTGTTTTGGGGTATTTTAGGTGGATAAATTCGCCATTCCTGCACTACAGACTTTGTTTTTAGCTTAAAATCGATGGCTCGACCCAATCACTAAGACTCACTGTAACGTTTTTGCAGTAAATTTACAATCGCGTAAGCCAAAGTGTTGAAGGCACAACCAAACTGTCTTGAAATAATTTACAAAAATAGAAGCCATCGAAATGCAAAGCTGGCAGGAAGTTGCTAATGATATTCAGCTACTACTCGGATAGCTACCGAATATTCTCACCTCTTAGAAACGGTGAAATGTGGATGAGGGAGGAGGAAAAATTGGTTTTTTACTTTGATAAAAATCTTATCATTAGCAGCCAGTGCGGGGATTTCACGCTGATGATGTTAGAATGCTTTCACAGGCACACCTTGAGCAACACATCTCCGGTAACACCAGCCTATACGATAAGTGTAATTTTCATGACGGCATTTCGAGTGGTCGCTTACTTTCTCACGTTCGCGCCATTTACCAATATTT